CCGTTCCATTTTTGCTCATTTCTCGGAGGCAAAATGAGCAAGAACGCTCATTTGTCCATCATTCTAGAGATAAATAAATGGCCTTTTTAAAAAGTGAACCATGTATGGGGAAATGTTGACAGTTTTCTCAAAAAATGCTTGAATTCAAGAAGTTTGGTTTTCTCATTCTCATTTCTCAAGAGCCGATAGGTACCTTTTCTTAGTGACATGGCGGTTGCAACTATGCAATCATTCGGGCTGAAAATCGCGTCAGTTGTATCGTATCGAGCGAACAGCGAGCCGACTTCGTTAACAACCGATTTGAACTTCCGAAGATCCCACAATTTCATCGTTTCGTCCAAGCTTCGCGTCAGCAAACTGTCGCCCACATGAGAAAATGCTATGCTGGATATTTCAACGGGTTGATGCGCTTTGCGGATTTGGCTTGCCGGGGCCACGGAGCTTTTCCTAAAATTGCAACTGGATTAGCGAGGGGATGCGGATTTATGCAGGCTATCGTGCCTGAAATCCCACAATTGAATCGAGCCATCAGCACATCCGCATGCTATAACTTTGCCTTCTCTGTTATACGTTACAGCTGTTGGGGATACTTTTAGCCCATTCTGCGCCCTGCACTTGATTATCTGCTTGTGGTTTTTGCCGTGGCCATAAAAATCCCATGTCCTAACAGTGCCTGAAACAACCAATTGTACTTTTCTTTTTCCAATGAAAATTTAGATGCTTGCCATCTGAACTGGTCGTTAAAAATTCGTCCTTTGCCACGGGATTGAAAGAGCCAGCAAGCAGGGCAGCGGTATGCCCCTTTGTTCTAGCCATATCAGTGATATACATGTCCCCTTTGACTGTTTCAAGCTTCTCAAAACCATCGCGATCAATTACTTTTGCTTGGCTTGCGCCCGAGATGACTAAAAGTAGGTCTCCAGTGCCGGAATAGTGAAGGGCTCTAATAGGGTGATTATCGACTGGTTGCAGCGTCCTGAAACTTCGCAGGTTCGAGTCCATGCCAGCAAAGTCCCAGAAACTAACCTCGTAGTCCACCGAACCTAAAAATCCACAACAAAATGGGTTGTTTCAAGCGGCGCTGAGTTTATGCCCACCTGAGGCCAGTCTGGCCCCACTTGGGTCTACAGTTAGGGCCGTGACCGCCTTATTTCCATGTTTCATGCTGGTGTCGGCCCTCATTGGAATAAAGTGCTTGTTGGCGCTGATGTCTTCATCACTATCACTGTCGCTGTCGCAGTTTTTCGTCCTTTTCTCCATCCTAGCAACAGGAACTTGTGGAGGTAAAGGGGGCCCAATTAGTTCATCTTCGCTGCTCTCATCGCTACTGCTTTCCACCGGCTTATCTTCCTCGGCTTTCTTCGTTATTTCCCTTGCAGTTGCTTTCACTTGCGCCATCATTTCCTGCAACATATTTTTGCTATGAATCTTTGGTTGATTCAAGCCCCACAGATCACAGCGGCTCTGTGATCTGTGACAAGCACTAATTCAGCTTTGCCTACATTGATATCGAATGTTTTTGCCTTCTTTCCAAATGCGGATATTCCCATCACCTCCTTCATCTGCTGTCCCTCCTTGTCATCCTCTAGGGCTTCTATCGCCTGAGGGGCCCCAATGTCAACAATGCTATCAATACTTCCGGTCGGCTGTATGGGTGTCGCTTTTTGGGCAAAATTGGCACTTATTTTGCCAAACTTTATTTTCTTCATTGTGGATTATGAGAATACACCTTGAAAGTACCAGTTTTGGAGCTCAGTTGAAGCTGAAAAAGAATGTTGGAAATTGAACTGTTTTAGAAGTGAAACAAACACCAAGGTAATTCACTGGCGTTTTAAGCCCTAGTTTATGGATTAGGCAGTGGAAGTCTTTATAACGTGATCAAGAAACTCTAACACCTATCTGATTTTAACTGGAAACTTTCAGTCTTACTCTGTGGCTTCAGGTGGTTTAGTTGCGGCTGCTTAATGTGGATTCATAACTACAATAATGCCATTAATTCAAAAACGATGTCAAGAAATGGTAAATGTTGTAAACATAAACAAATGCCTTACGAAAAGTTGGGTTGAAAAATACATGCGAAGTTAGCTGTAGGTCTGCAATAAGGGTGGATTGCCGTCTTCTGAGGGGCATTTATTCGGCTGGTTAGTTATTAAAGCCCTTATAACGGTTTTTTTGTGGTACATATTTGGATTTATTGACGCTGTTTAATTAATAGTACTCTATTAAGCCCGTTACAGAGATGTTCAGTGTATTTCAGTGAGTGAAAATGATCGAAGGATTAGCACAGAAAACAGTCTTTTCCTAGAAGAAAAATCGTTATCTCATATCATTTTTGGCAACTATGCCGCATTGGATCGCGATTATATTTTTTTCCTTTGACAGCGATTTTTAACACTAGCGTCGGCACATTCATTGGAACATTGGGAAGTTGATAACGCGAGTCACTAGAACACGGTTGCCATATCCTTACAAAGTTTAACAAATCCGCCGCTGAATTTCAACGTTGCAACCAGCTGGGTTCTTAAACCGGATTAACTTTTAAACGCGTAAAGGAATTATTTAGCAGGTCAGCGTATGCGTAACTTCCATTGCTAAGGTTTGTTCAACTAGAAAATCTCCCAATAACTGCGTTGCAAAATGATATAATGAATTTCTTCGGACTATTTGCCAGAGATAACGAGTTCGATATAACACACGACAAATAGTTAACTGTGGCAACGCTACTTCTAAGGTCAAATTTAACTGAACCTCTATATTTAAAAAAAGTTTGTTATCTGGCTAAAGACAAGATTGTTTCTGATCTGGCACAGTTTGTAGTCTGTATTGTCCGTTAACTGTGTGTTTTGTCCTGGCTGTGGCCTCCCAGTGCAACTGATCTTCCCATTGAAGCGGTAACATGAACTTTCAGGTCTTAATTCAAACTCCAAACAGCAAAAAGATGATTTTGTCCGACGCACATGAGATCCAAATCAGCTACGAGCTGATGGAACAAAGCCTTAAGTGTGGCGGTTGTAAGCGTTTCCTCAATGTTAAGCCCATCGCTTTCGATAACATTATGAAATATGCAATTTGCGGTCGATGTCAACCGGAAGTACGTTCGAAGCATCTTTCTCCCCAGCCCCTTTATGAGAGATTGGCATCGCAGTTCTTTTATCCCTGCTGGTATCGAACCGAAGGCTGTGAGGAAATTCTGGCGCTTGATGAAGTCCAGACGCACGAAAGAATCTGCAGGTAGGTCGCACAGGGGCGGATCCAGCTTTAAATTATAATCCAGCCACCATATAAGCAGGTTTTGCTGTTGATTTGCCTTAGATTGGTGGCTCGCTTGTTCTCCTTAAATGAATCGGATTCTTTTGTAGATTTCGAGCGGTGTCCTGTCCGCTGTCATCGTTGGAACTCGTTCAGCAGACAAGTTGCCGTTGGACTGGAAGCGCCCAGATGATCAACGATCATATTCAGCAGCATTCTGACTTGTTTCTAGATCCCCCCATGTTTGAATGGCCGGAGATTGGACAGAACTCGATGTTTTTTACCAAAATTGGTAAGATCAGTTGAAGATGGCATTTTGCATCATTATGCAGTGCTTTTGTAGGCCACAAAATCGTCACCGTGGCTGTCAAGTATAAACATAAATCCAAATTCCTTTGCCTTGCCTCGATCAACGACACCGACCTGGCGAGTCAGTGTTACAAATATCAATTGGAGCTGATCAGCGAGGATAAGCACAGCTCAATATTACTTCGGTGATTATAGCAAAGTTTATCGAATGCATTCGACTCTTCCCATGCTCGAGCAGTTCAAATAATGTTTGTAACTCTTGTAGGCGCGATCGGCTGCGATGCCTGCTGAGCATGAGCCACGACTTCAAAACGCCCGAAAACGCCCTGCAAGTGAACCTTGAAAAACTGTCCGATATGCTTCACAACTCCACGAAGATCTTCGCGAGGATCGGCATAGTGAAGAAGAGCAAGAAGCAGATCCAGCAGATCACGGGGGATGTGATTTCTGACCCGCCTTCCCCTGCAAACCCCCCACAGCCAGACGATATCGACGAAGACTTTTTGTCCGAATTAGAATGTCCTGTTTGCAACGAGTTCATGATTGCTCCCATCTTCATTTGCCTCACGGGTATCGCTAACCACACGGGGTTTAAGGGTGCAGCTTGTGCAACTTTTCCATTTCCAGGGCACAGCTTGTGCAACGTCTGCAAGCCCAAGATCAAATTGTGCCCCACGTGCAAGTGCCATTTCACGAAAGGGAGAAATTTCACCCTGGAAAAACTGGCGGCCAAAATCAAGTATCCATGCACGAATCGAACCATCGGCTGCCATTTCGTAAGCACTTCGGATCTCATCAGGAGCCACGAGAACGTTTGCGAGTTTTCCAACATTGACTGTTTTTACCAGTGAGTTGACTGCAGTCATTGATTGCTCCTCCACCTTTCCACTGTTTACACCGTTGCAGTTGTGGCTGGAAACTTCCCTTGGCAGACCTAGCCAATCACTTGAAGAACAATCACAGGACGAATGAAATCATCAATAACGAGGCGTTTGAATTTTGTATCGACGAGACTGTTTTCAACCCCTTTTCTTTTGTGGTCATCGGCAGGCACTTGTTTGTGGTAGTGTGGAGTTGCACCGCCCTAAGCCAAACAGCCCCAAAGGATGTGCTGTTCAAAGTCTACCACATGAGCCAGACAGCCTCAGATCATGTCTTCCAGTACAACCTCCAGTTTTCGCTGGACTTTAACCAGTCGTGCCCCTGCATGCAGTTATCGTACTTTTGCGACGTCTGGACGCCTGAACATGGAATCCCACAGAAAGGGGGGCAAAACTGCCTGAGTATTTCCGGAAATCTGCTAAGCAACTACCTAGACCAATCCAATCAGGGTTACATGAAAATCACCATCAGCCAGGTATAAAAGCCAGCAACTTGTTTTGTTTTCCCATTTGACTGCGTCCTATGGGCATCGTCCTAAATTTTAATCTTGACAAATTTTCTTTTATTGAATAAAGAATCGTTTTACACACACATACTCAATTACAATAAACACTACGTTCGAAATCGAATACTTCCAAACGCATTTGGGGGTATTCTGATTGCCTTTCACTATTCTACACGTTGCTGCGTTCATACATTAAGAATAAGAAGTCTGGCACCTAATGCGTAAAAATAGTATAGCCTTATTAAACATTTCTTGTGCGATTTCTTATTCTTGGTGTATAAACCCAGCATTAATGCACATAATTAGTATAAAAACTCCCATCACAATTTCCTTCATTCATCACACCGAACTCAGTCTGGAGGTCCGTCCAGCCGCAAACCACTGAACAACGAAATGCCTTTGAGTCAATCCAGATAGTTTTTAAATATTTTTTTACGGTTTATAGAAATCAGTACTTCTAACCATGCTATCACAAACCGAAGGAATAACTAAAAAATATTACAATAGGAAAAATAAGTGCCGACGTCGTCTAGTTGAATTTTCTCAATTTTCTGAAGTTTCAACAAAAATGTTGGTGTTTTCTAGAGAAATTTACGGACCATGCCAGGGTTTTTCTTATCGAAGCTGCTCAATATTAAATGTACTTTAAGTAAAAAAAACAAAACTTGGAATTGCAGGTTGCTCAAACGGACGAACGCGCTTTTCTGAAATCCTCCTGGTCTGGAGGCAGTGCGGCAGCGCTGGTGGCTAGTTCCGTGCAGTAGCGATGATCTGCAACATCTACTGGCGGAAGCTGTACCATAGATAAAGTAGATAGAGTAGATAAAGGCCATTTATTTCTCTCTAGAATGATGTACAAATGAGCGTTCTTGCTCATTTTGCCTCCGAGAAATGAGCAAAAATGGGACGGAAAACATGG